TCTGGGTGTGTCTTATACACTGAATACCATATTTTCTGCCTCCTGAAGCCCCGCTCCTTCATCAAAATGGCCGCGCATTGCCTTATGGAGGCTTTTAGAGAGCTCCTGGGGGCTGGGGAGGGCAGAAATGAGTGAAAAACAGCCAATTTTCTGCCCCTCCAGCCCCTAGCAGCACTCTATAAGCTTCCTAAAGGCTATGCATGCAATTTTTTTGGACAAAAAACGGGCTGTTTTTTGCTCATTTTTGCCCCCCCCATCCCCCTAGGAGCACTCTGCAAGCCCCCCAAAGGTTATTCATGGCTTTAAAAAAATGGGCTCATTTTCGCAAAAAATAGGCCATTTTTGGGAGGTTTGCACAGTGCAAAAACTTTTTTTTTCTTTCAGAACGCTCTTTAGAGTGATTGATGAGAATTATATTGATCAAGTGCTGTGCCAGCAGAAACAAAGTCTTAGGTGCTGCAGATTGTCAGCAATTTCGTTCTCCAGCACATGGATTAATAAACCTGGAAACCTCCCCCCTCTCTCCACACACACACCACACACACACACACACACACGTACCTACCTACTTTCTCTCTCTCTTTCTCTACATACCTACCCACCTACTCTCTCTCTCCCTACCTATCTACTGTATTTCTCTCTCTCTCTATCTCTCTCTCTCTACCCCTCTACCTACCTACTCTCTCTCTCCCTACCTATCTACTGTATTTCTCTCTCTCTCTATTTCTCTCTCTCTACCCCTCTACCTACCTACTCTCTTTCTACCTACCTATCTACTGTATTTCTCCCATCTACCTAACTACTCACTCTTCCTTACCTACCTACTGTATTTCTCTCTCTTGCTCTCTATCCCTCTATCTACCTACCTACTATTTTTTTTTAAAAATATGCCTCTTTAAAACCTTGGTGTGTCTTATACTCTGAAAAATACGGTATTTGAATTTAATTTGTATAACAAGATGCAGTTGGGTCATAATAGTTGGTGAAGGAAAATACAAACAAGCATGCAGTCAACACAGTTCCCGGGTTGTTAACTATACATTTAAAAAATACACACAAAACACCTCATATCACAGACTTGAGATCAAAGTGTACCATGGGCCTGCAAACAAAATCTGTCATGATATCCAAATTCTGAATTCAAATTGTAAGGAAAAAAGGATATGTTAAAGTTCAAGCTCATAATTATTTCTGTGTATGCTCAGTCTAGAAAGAAATATTGGCACATAATTCAACTATTGTTTAATAAGACATGATAAAAATAGGAAAATATTAACAAATTTCTCAGTGAGAACATAAATCATGGCTGAGAATTTATTTACTGACATTCATTGATGAGATGGTATCAGATACAGTACTGGGACATCACCCTATTGTTCCTATTCTAAGTGGATTTTTTTTTAACCTTTAAATTTTAAGTAGCATTAGACCTTAATCAGTCTCATTCATAGACAGCAATTGATAAGTTTGTGCATTGAAAGACAATTTATTTAGCATATAGTATTCAATGCACTAAATAGAATATATGGATAACTAGTAAAATATATAAAAGGAACACATGATACTGTGGTACATGTATGATGAAAATATATAGTCAATTTTGTAACGTATTTGGAATTCAAGAAGTTATATACAAATTACAGGTCACATTTTGAAATACATTGGTCCTCCAACTAACAAACACTGTACTTAATTGGATAAATAGTGTAGATATTAATATATAAGAGACAATGCTCAGCATAAAGGTCTATAGAATCATATCTATATATTATGATTGCTAGAAGGCATGATAGAAAGACAGGCAATCGTTTATATGGGCGCTAATTAATGCAAATTACTCACGCAACGGAGCTATTCTTGTTGTGAAGATTTTACAAAACCTAATATGTTCTTGCTGATCTATATTTTGTTTCTGTATTTATCCTAGAATATACTTCTGTTTGACAAAGCTATGAGATTGGTTGTTGGTAGCTCTGATTCAGGACCATTCTCCAAACTTTAGAGCAACCAACACCTACACAAATTGACTGAAGTATTCCCCAAGTTAGTCACCCTACTTTGCTTTTGCAATAAATAAATACATGTTCACAAGAAACTTACTCTTGTTGTGTAAGCAGCTTCAGGATCATCTTCAAGAATTCGAGAAAGTCCAAAATCTGACACTTTACACATTAAATTACTATTGATTAGGATATTTCTGGCAGCCAAGTCTCTATGTACATATCCCATGTCAGACAAATACTTCATCCCAGATGCTATTCCTCGGAGCATACCAACCAATTGAATTACAGTAAAGTGTCCATCATTCTTCTGTAAAAAGTACAGAATTACAAGTAGAGAATATAAAAGCAAAGTTTAATTTACTATAAATAACCAGGAAGTTTTGAAGTAAATATGTGAATGAGAAAAATCCTGTACTGCTATGTTCCATAATAAATATGTTGAAATTTAAAACTGTTCAAGATTGCTTTTACTAAATTAAACAACTCCCGTGGAGTTCTGTTTCCACCGGCACTTCAGAACTAGGTTCCATATTGTGAACCAGCATTGTCAATAACAGGCTTGAAAACTGAGACTGCAATTAAAGAAAATAATTGATAAAAAAGATAATTAACTCTGACTGAATGACTGCTAATGATTGTTAAATGCCAATATCATGTAGTCATAAACATTTTCTGTACTATAGCACTTCAGTTTCTTCCCTTATATATGTCAACATACTATATAGAACCGGGATGGCAAACCTATGGCATGCGTGCCACAGGTGGCACATGGAGCCATTTGTCAGGGTGCGCAAGGCGTTGCCCTATCAGCTGGCCAGCACGCATGGACACACTGGCCAGCTGACTTCAGCCTTTTTTAAAGGCATTTTTTGCCCTCCCCAGGCTCCAGAGGCTTTATAGGAGCCTGGGGAGGGCGAAAAGAGCCTCCCCGCCCACCCCCGAGACCCTCCAGAGGCTTCAAAAGCTTTCCTGAAGGAGGGGCGGGGGAGGCTGTTTTTGCCCTCCCCAGACTTCTATAAAGCCTCTGGTGCCTGGGGTGGGTGAAAAAAGCATGCAAAAGGGGGGGAGCACCTCTCATGCACGAATGCACACAGGGGGTAGTCGCACGTTGCATTATGAGTGTGGCATGACTATGCGTGACCCCCCCCCCCCTGCGCTCCCCTCTTATGGCACGCGAGCCAAAAAAAGTTTCACCATCACT